AATTGCATGGCTGCTGGCTTAGATGGCTTTGAAAGAAGATTAGGCATCTGCCTTGCAATGATCATCTGAGGAAATGACATTAAGATGCAGAACAAGTGGCACTAAGCTATGCTCGTTACATTATTAACAGGCAAACATCCCTTACTCCTCCTCCTTCTCCCTCCCCAGCCTTTCGGAAAGTTGGCTTTGGGGTGCTACTCAAACAAAAGGCAGGATTAGAAAGGCAGTATTTCTACTGCTTTTTACTATTCCTTTTTAAAAAATGAGAATACCAGGCTTTGTACCTGGGACAGTCTGTATGCAAAGCATTTGCTCTGCTAATGAGCTATGACTGCTTCACAACTGGTCTGGGACGGATTAGGGGTGGACAATCGTAGAATTGGAAGGGACCTTGAAGATTGTCTAGTCCATGGGTAGGCAAACTAAGGCCGGGGCCCGGATCTGGCCCAATCGCCTTCTCAATCCGGCCCACGGACGGTCCGGGAATCAGTGTGTTTTTACATGAGCAGAATGTGTGCTTTTATTTAAAATGCATCTCTGGGTTATTTGTGGGGCATGGGAATTCATTCATTATTATTTCCCCCAAAATATAGTCCTGCCCCCCACAAGGTATGAGGGACAGTGAACCGGCCCCCTGCTGAAAAAGTTTACTGACGCCTGCAGTCTAGTCCAACCCCCTGCAGGCAGGAATATGCAGCTGTCCCATATGGGATCAAACCTGCAAGCTTGGAGTCATCAGCACCACGCTCTAACCAACTGAGCTATCCAGGCTAGATCCCTCCCTTTCAAATAATTGTGGGGAAACAACCTTCATCTTAATTTATATTGCCATGCGGTTAATCCATCTTCACGGCAGCCTGCTAAAGACAAATGCAAACATGTGGTGGTGTTCAAAACACAAAACTTCAAACATTAAAAAATAAGAAGTTCCTTTATTTATTTTTTAAAGCACCTCGGATTCAATTCTGCATTTTCTTTACAGTTCATATACTCCATTTTGTACTGCACTTCAACATACTTTGTGGCCCGTCTGCCAAGGAAACTGCCTGTGGGCTTACCAACAGTGGCAGCCGCAGGGAATTACTGTATCTTATAAAGAATTAGGTTGCTAATAATACATCGCTTTAGGGTGTTAGCTCTCCAGAAATAAACTCCTCTTCTGAAAAGCAGCATTAGCTGCTGAAGTCAGCATCCCTCCGCAAAAGTAGCATGAACTACAGGGAGAAAGGGCAGAGAGCCAACACAGGAGGCAAAGAGCCAGAATAATGGAAGGGAGCATGAGTGTGGAGACACAAAGAGAAGATGGCCAACAGGCAGGGCAGACCTCTGCTTCCTTGCTCCAAGTAAGTGTGCATAGCATTGCAGCCTCAGGATCCTGAAGCCAACAGGGCTAACCTCTGAGTATTTTGCAGTATAAGCTACTGTGCAGTTACCAAAGGCAGGATGATGGAACCTGCCACCCATATGGCTTGTTGCTTGGTACTTTCCAGACCACACGGCCAGCATGCTGTAGTATTTAGAGTGTCGGATTAGGACCTGGGAAAGCAGGGTTCGAATCCCCGCCCAGCCATGAAGCTCACTGGGTGACTTAGGGCCAGTCAATGTCTCTCAGCTTAGCCCAACCTCATAGGGTTGTTGTGAGGCTTATATGGGGAGAAGGAAAAGCATGAATACTACTTGAGATCTTTGGAGGAAAGGTAAGATATAAATGTAATAATAATAATAACAACAACAATATAGTGGTGTAGGGAAGGAAGTTTGGTTGGGGAAGGGAATTATAATGAAGTACATGCCACCATTTTTGTGCGCCAAGACCTGAGAAATAGAAAGCAAGTGTAACTGCTTATTACGCACCAATTCCCCTCCCCTCCCCAGTCTAGAACATCTTGGTATATAGCAGGCATGTCCAACTCCCAAGAGACTGTGATCTACTCCCACTATAAAAAACTGGCAGTGATCTACCCATTGGATTGAGCTTTTGGGGGGGAGCCTTCACCAAAGTTGTTGAGCGGTTCAACATGCCTGGTATATAGGAATACTATTTTTAAAATGATGGAAAGATAAGAGCTGAAAAACTGGGGGGGGGGAATTCACTTATTTCCCCTTGGACTTTTATACAACATATAGTACCATGATGACCAGAAGTGGGGAACCTGTGGATTCAAGATGCTGCTGGCATACAGCTCCTATCACTCCTTCCCATTGGCCACATTGGCTGGGGTTGAGATAAGCTGTGATCCAACATCATCTGTGGGACCACAGGATCCCCACTCCTGATCCAGGCACACAACTACAACTAAGTTCTCAAATGTACACTCAGAATGAATGAATGAACGAATCTTTATTTGTGTCAGCCATCGGCCATAGCAATAAAACAACAATACGATATACAAAGAATAAAAATAAAAAGTTAATTATATAAAATACATTTTAGGGTTTTGATGTACACCCAGACACTCATTCAAAGGGTACATGTGTTATTCTTTTATGCACTGAAAATATTTATGCGCCACTTTTCCATTAAAGTATCCAAAGTGCTGTGCAACAGCTTTAAAAGAAAGAACCACGCAACAAAACCAAAAGGCAGTCTAAATCCAAAACACATTTACCAAGGAGTGAGGCCCATTGACGTCCAGGGCATGCTTCCAAATGGACATGTATATTGTTATTATTTTTATTATTGTGTACCCACGCTTCATCCTAAGGTCCCAGTGTGGGTTACAACATTAAAACACAATGTTAAAACAATTTGCAGTCACAGAAATAATGTCATGAATATAGCAGGTGTGGGAGATCTGTAACACCTCCAAATACTGCTGGACTACACCTCCCATCAGCTGCAAATGTCAATTACTACAATTTATTATTTATGTAGCACTTCACTGTACAAAGTGTTTTGCAATCTTTATCCCAACAATTTTCAAAGCAACAAGGAATGTGTGTCATTAAAATTGCCTTTTGGCTGATAGAAAATGGAGATAGGAAGAGACTTGACCAACTACGTCACAACTTAAACTTGGAACTAGGTGCTACAAAAGGTAGGTTCAACTTCTCCACTGTTCAACTTCTCCTTGCTGTTAAACTAGACGCAGTGCCTCAAAGGTTAATAAATTATGTCCAATATTATTATTTTCAAAGTGCAAAATTTGTTCTCTCTCATCAACTTAATGCTCTCGTTGAGATTACGAGTGCTGGCCGGAATGTGTTGGGCCCCTATTGGACAGCAAAATGTTCCACTATGTTGTTATATTTTTAAAAGATACAATTTTTCTGTAAATTTATTTAGAGATGAAACACTCTGATACCAGTAAGCAAGGTCATCCAACACCACCCACTCCATGAAAAGCAACCACAGATGGGAAAAAAAGGAAGAGGACTCCTTTAACTTTGGTCACATCCACACCACACATTTAAGGCACATGACTTCCCCCAAAGAATTCTGGGAACAGTAGTTTCTTAAGGGTCCTGGGAATTGTAGCTCTATAAGGAGTACAATAGCTCCCATAATTCTCTGGGGCAAGCAGGCAAATGTGTGTTGACTCCCGGAAAATGGCCGCTACTACCTCTCAACCGCATGCTCCATCTGGGAGGTATAGTGGTACGAGCAGGCCTGCCATGCTGGCCACTGGGAGAGCACAGGTGAGCAAGTGGCGGCAACAGCTGCTGCCTGCCTGCCTCCTCTTCCTTCTTCAGTGGCACAGTGAGGAGAACAGAGCCCAGCTAGGTTGTGTGCAAGAAAAAAGTAAAGGGGTTGGCTGCTCCTTGCAGGCATGTTCTCTCTGGAAGGTTCCACCAGCCTGTTCTCCCAGTAAAGCAGAAGTTCAGACTGGGCTTACAAAAAGACCGAGGGCAAGCAGGTAGAGAGGGACGTGTCAGTCTGGTACGTAAGGTAGTGGCAGCTCATCTAATCCCACCTGCTGTGACCGGGCGTGCAAAAGTGTGGGAGGAGTAGTCACTGTCTTTTTGCACTCCCGCCTCCCCCCTCTCCCTGTGGACGGCACATAGCAAACAGGAAAGCGACTGCTGCCAGAAAAAGTCACTTCTCCCTCCACTGGCTCACCTGTCCACTCTTGGCAGGGCAGGGACAGGGAACCTGGACTCCAACTCCCATCGTGCCTGAGAACTGGCCATCTGGGGCTGATAGGAATCTGACTCCCGACAATATTGAGAGGGCCACAGGTTCTCCATCCTTGCCGTGCTCCACGCCCAGGAAGGGCAGAGGTGAAGGAGACAGACGGTTCCTTCTGCCTACTTCCTGTCCTTTCTCTGGCAGGGTGGCAGGTATAGTGGGCACTGCCAGCAAGTGAGGTTTTCTATATTAAAATGGAGGGTTTTGTATACTCCTGGAGAAGCCACGCTGGCTACACAGCTGTCGGAGGCAGGACGCCTCTGAATGCCAACTGTATTTTCAGTCGGGGAGAGATCCATCTGCTTGTGCGCACCTGGGTTGATGACCGTGGTGAGAATAGGATAGCGGACAAGACGGGCCTAATCCTGCAAGGCTCTTTTCAGGTCCCAGTTGCTTCCCCCTTTCTCCCGGCACTGCAGCAGAGAGATTTGGGCTCTGGGCTACTCTGCCAGTGTGTGTGTGTGTTTGTGTGTGTGTGTGTGTGCTTGTAAAGCACACAGCCCCCCCCCCGTCGGGAAGATGTGCAGCAGGGAGGACCAGGCTGCCTCGACCCCACCTCCCCCCGCGCGGTGCCCAGAAGCAGAAGGCGCAGGTGGGCGAGCAAGTTGGGTACCAGAAGCGGACAGCCCAGTCTTCCTCGCTGCTGCTGGGAGAACCTGAGGGCGGGCAAGCCAGCAAACTCCGCAGCAGCTCCGCAGGGCCCGGTTCTCAGCGGGAAGCAAGCGCTTCTCCACCCACCTGCTACCCGGGTGTGCGAGTTGCGCAGGGTCGGGGCCCCTCCCGCAGCCTGGACGCCGCTGCGGCCCTAAACCCGGAGCCTAACTGCGGAGCCCTTGGGTGCCTGCGCCCCGCTCGCCTCTCCCTTCCTTACCAGGTACCAGATGCCGAGGATGATGGTCCCGGTGCGGACATGGCAGCACATGCAGCAGCTGTTGGAGTAGAAGCGGGCCCAGGGGGAGCTCATCATCTTCATGGTGGGGAGCGCAACAGAAAGAGAGAGAGAGAGACGCGCGGCTCCGGTCCCGGCGGCAGCTCAGCGGCGAATTCCCCCAGCGCTGCAGCAGCGCCTGGATACCGCCAGCAGGAGGAGGTGGAGGAGGGAGGGGGAACCTCCGTTCCATGACGTCATCGGGCCTCCCGCACGCCAGCGGGGAGGGGCGGAGCCTCCGAGCCCCGGATTGGGCCGGCGAGGAGCGCGCGCCCGAGGGAGGCCTGGCGGAGGAATGAATGAGAACGTCCGAGTGGGAAGATTCGAACCGCGGCCCATTGACAAAAAGAGAGGCGGGCGCACGTTTGCGCTGCAGAGGGAAGTCCATTCCACGCCGCCCCTGAAATTAAAGGGGCTCCTCTAGGAAACTGCGGCGTCTTTGCGTCGCCATCGGAAAGAAAGGAAAATTACAGCGGGGACGTGGGCGGGGCATCCAGGCCGGAGGCGCTTTCGCTGGGATGGCCTGGCGACTGGCTGTGAAATTGGCTAAAAATTTAAAAGCAGCGAGAGCATAGAGTCACTGCAAGGGCGTCCCTATGGAAGCGGCTTTGTCCTTTTAACTGTTAAATGCGGGGTGAAGGGACCAGGAATAAAGGCTGCGCTCTGTGCGTGTGTGTGTGTGGGGGGGGGGTTGGTTGAAGGCTTACTGAAGGGAGAGGTTTGGGATATACCGGTAAGTCATCAAAGAAATCACCTTTTGATGTTGTGATCTTCTCTCTCAAGGATGCTGCTCCCTAGACCTGCTGCAGTCTTTCCTTTCCCATACAAAATACCCGCATGAACAGAGAGCTGTTGTTTTGCACCCCAAAGTTCTAGACCCAAATTATGCACCCCAGTGAAAGTGTGCACCAGCACAGACCGTGGGGCCTCAAATTTAAGAGGAGCAGGCCCCTGCCAGCTACATCGTAGCTGTGGCGCCTCTTGCAGCACCCCTGAGGCTCTGCGCCTCCCCTAAATCCGCCTCTGACTAGCATTGTCTTCGCCTCAAAGGTTCCTTTGATTCCCACTCTACACCATCACTGCTTGGAAACCCAGCTCACTCCTATGCATGTAGTACTGATCGTGGGACATATTGCTGCTCATGGGACTTACTGCCAAAGTAAGGAAGCAAAGAATTACAGCCTGTACTGTAGATAACAGTGAAGATCACCTGAAGCATGGAAGGGACCATGAGGGTAATCTGGTACAACCCCTTGCAGTACAGGAATCTATTGCCCAATGTGGGGTTTGAACTCACAAACATGAGATCACGAGTCTCGTGCTCTACTGACTGGGCTTTTGAATCCCAGGTAATCAGAAATTTAATTCCCTTATCTCATTTCGCTTTTCGAAGCATAAAAAGGCATTCAGTTCCAAAGCTGCCTTTATATTAAAATTTCTAAGCAGTGCTGAAAGATTTTTAACCTTTCATATCTTATCTGCTCCAGCAGGAAGTTCAGACAAGCACACAAGGTCAAACACAGACAGTGGAGCTTCCTGTTCTAAAGCAGGAGAAGATTGAAGTCTTTTAATTATTTTGGAGCGTCATAGATTCTCCCCCCCCCCTTAAGAGATTGATTGGATTGGTTCAGCTGATTATAGAAACAGAGGGACTTCTTGGCTTCTCTCCACTGTTTGCCAATTCACCTCCTAGGAGCTATTCAAGGACCCTTTCAATGGCGGAAGATTGATAGCAGAAATAAAGAGAGATGAAAAATTAGACATTTTAAGATCTATTGCACGCCACTCTATAAATCCTGTTTTAATTCCAATGAAATAGAATACAATTTGGCCACTTTTCAAAGTCCATTTGAAACGTGGGCATTGCTTTAATGTGCTCTTTCTAAAGAGGATTACAGCACAGATCTGCACACTTCTCAAATGGAAGGCCCATTAAGTTAAATGGCGCTTTCTCCCAATTAAGTGTATACTGTAGGGTTGCAGCCTTAGATTACTTATAAGCAGGCATCACAGCTTGTCAAAAATCATATATCTGTCCCTGGAATACTATTTAGTGCTTCAGGGATTGGAGTCATGTGATGTGAGGGTAGAAGATGCATTTTTTTTGACAGCAGTAATGACCACATCTTAAACTTGTTTAACTCCTGCTTAAGTCCCATGGAGGTTAAGCAAGTCCTAGCTGACTGAGTATACATGAATAGGAATGAAGCATCCAAGCCACCACAAACCAAGATCAGTCATAATAAAGGCTCATGGAAGCATCAAACCTGAAAAGGGACTGCAAATCATTACCCACTAATTTATAAGCTGGGATGCAGCCGGGGTCTGCAATCCTGCACAAAGGTTGCTAAAAATTTCATTGACTTCCAATAAGCTCCTGCATATGGGCTGTTAATCAGTTTTCTAATGGTGGCACAGAGCTAAGCGCAGAAAAAGAACATGTGGAATTCAGGGAACAAGAGAAAACTATATAGTATCAGAAGATGGGAGTTTGCAGAGCCACCAGTGGAAAAAACCAACACAGCTGAAACAGAAACAAATTCCCTTCTCACTTGTAGGCTACCATTCTTATCGCAAATGTTGGACTTTAATGGTACATCTTAACATTAAAGCAGACTTCCCCAACCCAGTGTGCTCAGGATGTTGTCAGACTGCAATGGGAGTCATCCAGCATTCAGAGGGCACCAGGTGGGCAAAGGCTACTCTAAGGACAATTGTACCCGGGACTGATGGGTGGAAGGATGTAGATTGATACGTAAGTAAACAGCCTAGTTCTAGGTCAAATATGTGGGATTCGCATACCCCCTAGGAACTCTCTTAACATTGACAATATTATTGGGCTTGTATTTAGAGATTGTTTTGTTTTTGCAGTTTGCATATGCAGCCAAGGAAAGCTATCTGTCTCCACAAGTCACTTTCTTAAATGTTGTGCTTTGGGTTTGAGGGTATTGCACTTTCATTTAGATGCTTAAATACTGCTGTGTACTTAACAGTAGACATATTTCAAGGACTTCACAAGCATTCAAGCTATTTAGCAACAATATGGTTTTAGTGAGTTTGAACTGGGAGGGGAGGAGATCTGCTCCTCCATATCCTCCAGCGTTTCGCCAGTCTTCTTCCACTCAGTTATCTCTCTGCAACCTTGGGCAGCTGTGTGCACCCAGCTTAAAATCTTCTCTCTTACTGTAACAGATTTGTTACCAGAGGATGAAGTCCCTCCCCTGATGGAGAATCAAACAAATGCACTGCAGTCATGTCAGCTGTGTTTGTTCCAAGTTAAAGAAAACACACAGCTTTTTAAATGAAGTGTTTCCAACATGCAACCACAGCTATACTTATTTACAAAACTGGCACCATATTCAGAGATTTCTGCAACATGCAAATAACATCTTTCCAACCAAGGTCCTAGACGAACTCTGTGCTATCTAGGGACTTGAAATGCCTTCGTCACAGCCTTGCAAAGTTATCACTGAAGATGTGATACTGACCTCTAAAAGTTTGTGATTGGCACCTATTTCCTGTTCCTGCCTGCAATTTCCTGTGGTTTTTTTTTTTTTTTGCCACATTATAGGATATACATGTCTATAGCAACTGAAGTAGGGAATCACACTGACAGCAGTCTTCTGATTCCACATACTCAAAGTGCTTTAAAATATATTTTCAAATTATTCCACAGAACTGGATTGAGGCCCTAAGTCAAATGGGCTGGATCTATAGTCACAATGGCCACCAACCCCCAATTCTTGTTTGAGGTTTTGTTTTAAGTAAAGGAGAACAAAGACAAAAATTAATAATGATCAATTAAAACACAGGTCCTATAATGCAGGTTGGTGTTAAGCTCTGGGTCTGAAAGATATGAAGACTACAAAATTAAGGCTGCAATCCTAACCCTACTTACCTGGGAGTAAGCCCCATTAAATTCAATAGAAAAAGCAGAGGAATATAGTGTTACCAAAACGGCAAACAGCAACACTAAAAAGGTATTTCTGTGAACAGTTTTGAAAATTAATTTTAATGTATAACATTCTTTAGCAAATAGTTAAATAACGTCTGTCTACTGTAATTTTTTTTGTTTTTTTAAAAAACAAAGTTTTCATCCACCTTGAGCTAACTTTGTAACAAACATGTATGAATTCTATACTTTCCCCAAGAAAACTAAACGAAAAGTCAAGAGTAAAGCATGCAATGACTACCCAATCACATATCACATTTTTTTTGTAAAGTTGTGCATACAAACAATTTCAAAAGTTACAAAACCCACATTAATCTTTGAAAAACATTCCATGCATTTACTAATGAGAATATGTTAGCTGCTTTGCTTGTGTTTGCCCCATAAAAGGTTATCTGGACGCAGTTGGCCATGAAGGCTACAGTTAGTCAATATAAGTAAAGTGTACATTCCATATTAATACAACTTTGTTTTGAGGGGAAAAAAGGTCATTGCCAATTGCACAAAGAAGAAAATTCCCGTCTTTACATTTTCTGGTTGCTAAATTTTGCTGCCTTGCTGACATTCAGGCAGGAACATTTAGGTTTTATTGACTCAAGTCTTGTGCTTTTCAAGAACTTCAAGAATGCATTGCTCCAGAAACTGGGAAATATCTACAATCCCCATAGATAACTGATTTCAGCTGTAGTTGGAGCACAATGCCAAAATTTGAGGGAAAGCCTATAGTTCCAGTTTAGGATTCCAAAGGTGGAGGATAGGAAATCCACAGAGACATCACCCTTGAGTAAAGCTGAAGGCTGCTGTTAGAAACCCATGTCAGTTGAAAAACACTTTAGGACTGGAATGGATGTAAACAGGACATTTTAGGTTACAGTCCTCTGCAGAGGTTAAGTGTTCCAGTACTGACAACTGAGAAAAGCAGGTATTGAGAACTTTCAAATTTTACAAGTTTCAATCCGATTTCCAAAAACACAAATACTGTACTTTGGGGCAGAGTCTGCAAGCAGCAGTTGGTGTTCAAAGTAACACCAAAGAGACAACCCAATTAATTCTTAAGCATCTCCAGTTTGTAGGGAAACTGTCCACAGCTGACTGAGCACAAAGGTTCTTTGCAAGGATGCCATGATATTGCTCAACAGCAGGTTTAGAATTGAAAGTGGCTGGTTGTGACCGAAGTTGTGATGCTAGAGAATACCGTTACACTATCATTTAGTAGCTGGGTCACACTGATTTGTGAGAAGCTCACACAAGCAGCTTTACTGTCAAAACACATTAAAATGCCTCTGACTTTGCATTTGACCTGCAAGCAGATATGTATATAAACCCTTCCCATTCAACAATTCTCCTTAAATAGGAGGGATGGTGGTGAATGAACTCTTGTGAATTAGCAAGCATGATTTAATGACTTTACATAATATATGGACACTTACTTAGGCCAATCACATAAGCAAAGGCATTGCCCACCACATTTCATGAATAGCGGTTACCATTTCTCTACCTTTCACATAAACTGACATTTGATCATGTGTGGAGAGGGGCTGTAACTTTTTTTTAATACTGTCAGTGGATGAAATTGGTTGAACTCTCTGTAGGTGTTGATGAAGAATGGAATTTACAACATACATGATTTCACATGTTCAACATTCTTTTAAAAATCATAGTTGAAAATCCAATTTCAACATTCGGTAATTTCATGGACACTTGTGTCTTCTCAATAAGACAGTCTATGTACTATATACTACTAAATAACACAATCTTATCACTTTGCTCAATTTATTTTAACAAAATTGATTTAGAAATGTCACTGAATTAAACAAAACATCTGAACATGTAAACATCTGCCATGTTCCTGTAACAGGAATTAATACCTGTGGACATTAGTATTCGTTTATTAGGAACACTATCAATTAATAAGGCTTGTCTTCAATACAACTAAATCCAGTTTGTTGCTTTAATTGTTCTTGCATTGCAAGTTAAATTTTTACCAAATTTTCTGATTTAGACAATGAAACATTATGGGAGAGTCAGTAAGTACCATCGGTTACAGCTGTTACAATTTCTCTGCCACATGAAAAACCTAAGCCAATCACATCAAATAATCATTGCTTTTCTTTAATAGATGCTCACCAAGTTATGTTAATTATGGTCCTTTAAAACACACACAAACATTTTGTAAAGGCTATATACAGTGTACATGGCTGAGCATGCACTATTCATAGATAGATACCTGCCTGCTGGATGTGATGTAATTACACAGTGCCTGAAATGATGCAGCTCAACTCCCATTTTAATCAATAATTCCAAGAGGAAAGTTGGTTTTACAATTGCTATATTTGCATGATTTTTTAAAAAAATACAAAACACACTAATCCCATTTAAGAACTCTAGATGCAGATTCTACATAGGTTAAGGCAGTAAAAAAGCACTTCCTGATACAGGTGGTCTCAAGATCAATTAAAGCTGTCTGAAGCCATTATTTCCCTCTTTCATTCTCAACCACATCTCTGAAGAGTTTATGGAAGTTTTCTTTAAAATTACATTTAATAAAAATAAAAACGGGACATGGAAGAGACATGAAATACAACTTCAAAATTAATGTGAATAAAATTTTAAGGGCAACAACTAACCTATTACCTTAAAAAGGAATAAAACACGACTGATTTGGAGCATACAGCCCCTTCTTAAAAATATATTATTTGAGTAATTCAAGTAGAAGACTAATCAGAAGCAACTTCATGAACCATGCTCAAGTTTTAACCAATTTTCTCAGTTTCTTAATTCGTAAGTTTCTGCAAGTTTTGCATTCTTAACCACATTTCTTATGCTACAGAAATGACTTTACTGAATGGTTCTAGTCATAATTTTTCCACTTATTTTGAAATATTTCCTTTAAGTCAGGGGGACTATTCAAGAGCAAGCATTTATGACTCCAGGCTCTCTGTACTTATAATTAACTTTATAATTAGCACATTCCATTAAGTATTAGAAAGATATGGCAGATTTAACCAGAGTTCTTTGATTTAGGCATTAAGAAATTCAGAATGGACACTACTCAGAGTGACACTGTTTTACAGATGATTTAGGAAATTTTAAGACCAATCCTTTTTCTCCAATGGACGTAAAATAGAGATAATCTGTTGTAAACAGGGCACTGTTGTAAAGACAAGTTGTTTTTTATAATTACTTTCCCCATATGTTGAAACAGACTCTTCAATGTGTCTTCCAGTATTGTCATATTTCCTGTTAAATTATGTCACCAACTTATTTTCCTTCTGTTCCTGTTCTTAAAGATGGTTGTGTTCAAAGCAGTTTGTTTTTAAAAAAATCTGTTGAAATTTATATAAAATTCTGTACAGGTTCACAAATTATTGCATAAACAGCATAATCTTCACGACAAGTGTTTCTGCAACACACGTCCATCTCAGAAAATTCACGTTTCCCTTCTGGCCTTTTTCTTCTTTTTAATTTGTTTGGGAGACTCCCAGCTCTCTTCAGACTTGGCTACAAGTTTAAGAATAAAGAATATTTACTGTCAATTATATTTATGTACAGTTCATTCATACACATATTTTTTGAATAATATTTATTAAGTTCCCATGCCTCTAATTGTATATTATAACCAAAATCTTAGCCCATAACTGTTTTAACCTCTTCATCATACATTTCATTCTACATCATACATTTCATTCTACTGAGTTACTCAAGGAAATGCAAAAATTAGAAATTCCACTAAGGCAACATCTCTTTATCTCTACATCTAGGTCAGGCATAGGCAAACTAAGCCCTCCAGATGTTTTGGAACTACGACTCCCATCACCCCTGACCACTGGTCCTGTTAGCTAGGGATGATGGGAGTTGTAGTCCCAAAACATCTGGAGGGCCGAGTTTGCCTATGCCTGATCTAGGTAATGTCATGGCTTGAGAACTGTCTTGGTATGACTTTTGATGCGGTGACATTCAATATGGTATGATTTTCCTACATAAACGCAGGAAATGATCTTACACTGGGTCAAGCCATTGGTTCATTTAGCCCAGTTCTGTCTACGTTGACTGTTCAGATGGGAAGTCAATTTCCATTCACAAATGTGGTTTGTTACAGGCAAAGTGTCACATGCCAATTTCATTTTGTGACATACTGGTGCAGGAAAATAATCAAGAAACGAAGACCCTCAATTTCCCAGCCTCCTGACAGCTCAAACACATAAATCTGTAAATAACACATTTTCATAGTGCATACAAACCCCACTGGTTTCAAAAACGGGACTGATGGATGCTGAATGTTCAGAATCATGCCTATGAGGGATAAGCATAATCTGCAAAAAGATCTGCTTGGTTGTTATGATACAACCACCATTTGGTTGAATGAAAATAGAGTACTTCCCACTGAGTCTAGCAGGCACCTGGAGGAAGAAATTACTTACTCTGTGGCGGAGGCACACTGTTTTGCTTAACATTAGAAATAGGAACTTCTGTCTCCGGTAGCATCTGTGGCACTTGGGAAGTTATCTTGTCAGATTCACTCTCTGATACAGTTACAGATGGCTCAGTAGAAACAGCAAATGAGGGCATCTCCTCAGGCTAAAATAAAAACTGCAGATTAGAATACAGACTTTTTGGCAACATTTAATTATGACTGTTTATAACAGAGGATGTCGAGACATTTGAGTGCATTTTTAATGTTTCATTTGGACTAAGTGACAAAACAGGAGAATGAGAAGCTATCATTTCCAGACAAAATAGTGTAAAACTAACAAATTGCAACTGTGACCTAACTAGTGTAAATTTCCTTGGATAATGGCCAGAAAAATATTTAAAGAGCTGGGTCTTGTTAATTTTTTTTTTTTTAAAAAGGTCACTGAAGATGCCTGACATTGAGATTCAGCTCTAGGATTTCTGCAGAACTTGTAACATATGCAAGGATATTCTTTCGGGAAGAATAGCAAAGTAAAAAATGTAAGAACGTAAGACCAGCCCTCTGGGTTGGACCAAAGGCCCATCTAGTCCAAAGATTATGGGCAGAATTTTATGCTGCACTATGACGTACAATCCATCTGCGCAAACATTGCAACTTGCCAGATGGTCTGATTCCCCCCGTCTCCTTCCCCCACAAAGTCTTTTGGGGATTCTCCTTACCCTCTTGGGAGTCTATTTTGGTGGCTGTGGGGGGTGGGGAGGAGGAGGGAAAGCCCCATGGCACAAGCAAAAGTCCTTGTTCAGGGTTTCCCCTGACAGGGCTTGTTAGGTGAATCCCAAACCCCTTTCCCACAGAGGCCAAACAGATGTCTCTGCATATGTGTACTTCTTCCTGCTGTATACATGATCTGTGTTCATGGCATGCTGTGGTCTAGACTGATCTATAAGGAGCTCATGTGTAGAAGGGCCCTGAGAAATGGAACAATACTTTTTTGTTTATAAAATTAAATTATACCTCAGCCTTTAGACCCTCAAAAATATGGGTGCTTTTTTGTTGATTGTAAGTATTGAAAGTATGCCTGATGAGCACCTAGATATATTTATCTATACCTCAGCTTGTTCACTAGTGCTGATGGTCTTTAAAGAGAAAGCTATCTCCTCTTGATGAACTTTTGAGGTATCTTCTGGAAATTCTTCTCCAGCATGTCTTTCCAGGTCATCAGCATCCTACCAAGAAAAAAGAAACACAAAGGATACTGAGGAACTTGAACCACTCTTTCTAATCCTGTAAAATCAATTCTGCTGCAAGATCAAATCAGTGTAATGAACCAGAATTTAAATACCCAATTTTGTAATCTAAAATCAGTTTCTCCTCTCGGTTTAAGATTGATAAAGCATTTCATGATAGTAATAAATAGGGAAATATTTCAATTTCATTACGTTCTAGCAGTTCTTTTCTATTGGTCAGAACCACCGTCAGGCAAAAAGACAGAGTATAAACATATCTATCTAGAATAATAGCAATAATAATATTCTGCCTCACCTGTACAGGAGAGCTAGCCTCTTCTCCCTGCTTCTTCTTTTTCTTTTTCTTCTTCTTTGCTTTACCACTTGCAGTACTTTGCAGAGCTGGTTCTGCCTTTTCTTTCTCATCATCTGAAGCCTAATATAAAAACAAAAAAGAACAGAGAATGTTTCATTAGAATAAGCTGCCTCTCTACATAACCATGAAATTAAACTATGTCTGTTTTCCAAGCCATTTCAGTTATGTTTTTAACACAGAGAATCAGGATGCATATTAAATGCACAGAAAAATGGCAAGAAAGCAGCAGTTGTCTATGGTATTAGTCCACCTTTTCTAAAAATTAAGAAGCATTTTTAGGATCAGACTAATTCCATGTGCTTTCCAACAGATCTCATAAATACCTTTTGTGCCTCAGATAGTGCTTCCTCAAGCTGTGGAATGCAATGAGTCATTTCTTCTTCTATCCAGTTTCCCCATTCCTCTGCAGGGGCATTCCAGTCAGAACTGGGATCAGCAGAAGATAGGCCGTCTGTGAATAATGAAGGAACAAGTTTCAAGTAGTATAGTAAAAGTCATGTGACTCAAATCACACACTAATTATGTCAATTTTTAGAGTGCATAACTTTGCTTTATTCCTCAAGTATTATTGGTCAAATATCAGTCAAGTATTTTCTTAAAAAATATTTGCTATATTACTACAGAAAACATACTTTAGCATAACTATTAAACTTGATACTTTGAAAAATATCAGTTGCTGTGAAACAATGAAGTTACCTTTAAAATTACTACAATTACCATTTTTAAACACACATAAATCAAAGTAGCAGCAACTATTAAAAAGCAAAAGCTAGATTTTTAAAGGCAGTTGTGCCAACCGGGACTACAGTGGTGCCTCGCAAGACGAAATTAATCCGTTTCGCGAGTCTCTTCGTCTTGTGGTTTTTTCGTCTTGCGAAGCATGGCTATTAGCAGCTCTTAGCGGCTTAAAGAAAAAGGAAACAAACTCGCAAGACCTCGCAAGACGTTTAGTCTTGCGAAGCAAGCCCATAGGGAAATTCGTCTTGCGGAACGACTCAAAAAACGGAAAACCCTTTCGTCTAGCGAGTTTTTCGTCTTGCAAGGCACCACTGTATTCTTCCAGAACCAATAGCATCATCTGCCTGGTTCCTGTAGAATGCAAGATGGGTAATTCCAGACAGTGACAAGGTCACTGGTCAACTGACTGTGTTTCTGTTCCCAATGGGAGACATTTGCAGTTACAGTGGTACCTTGGGTTAAGAACGTAATTCGTTCTGGAGGTCCATTTTTAACCTGAAACTGTTCTTAACCTGAGGTACCACTTTAGCTAATGGGGCCTCTTCCTGCTACCACCGCCCGACTTCTGTTCTCATCGTGAAGCAAAGTTCTTAACCCAAGGCACTATTTCTGGGTTAGTGGAGTCTGTAACCTGAAACGTCTGTAACCCGAGGTACCACTGTACAGCAGGTAGCCAGTAGGAGTTTTGCTCCACTAAGATTGCCTCTGACCCCTATAGAGCTAGGGACTATCAGCCCTCCCTCCAAATACATTCATACCTTGTTTTGCCACCGGGATCCATTCCAGAGCCTCGGCAGCTAGCCGAAACGGATGCAGGGCAAAGCGCCGCGTCTGAGCACGCACACAGAGCGGTTTGCACTTCTGCGCATGTGCGAGCGGCAAACCTGGAAGTAACCTGTCCCGGTACTTCTGGGTTTGCTGTGGACGTTCGCTGGAATGGACGCTAGACAATTGTCTGAAGAATCAGTTGTCTAGTCCAATAGGCTAAAGTACTTCTTTCTATATACACCTATACATGGAGGAAGATGGCCATTTCTAAGCAAGGGAACACCAATGGAAACTAGCTTTGTCTATCAATCATGCTTTGTCAGGGCACAAAAATCTACACTATTTAGAAGCAAAATTGCAATCTGATCTGAAAGATGGTCTATTTAAAATATACCGGTAAGTCATTTTGCTTGCACAAATGTCTCAAAAGATCTCTACCACTGAGATAACATAGTTAAATGAACCCCATGGAGGGAGCCATGCAGATGTTAATAGAGACAATTAATAGTTTGCAGGACTAATTTATTGTAGTGCAAGCTTTCATGGGTGAGAGCCTCTTGCATAGTTTAGCCTTTTGGCCCTTGTTTTATTTTTAAAAAGCATTTCCCTCCCTCTTGGGTGTACTTCAACTTACCCACTAAGTAGGCACCTCATGCATTGAATAAATTCGGACTCTGCTCCCCAAAATGCATGTCACAATATATTTCTTAGGTTTGGGGATAGCAAAACCACACTTCATTATTAAAAGCATGTGGATAAACACCTGGTCCCATTTGCAGAGGACACATGGATGAATAGGAATATGAATATGAATGTAAATCTTTCTAGTGTAAGTCGTACAAGGTTTTTAAAAAAGAACTTACTTAACCCAGACCATTCATCATCAATATGCGCCTGATTACGATTTAAATCCCATTGGAAGTCTGTAGTAGTAGGTTGAGGAACAGATTCACTGCTGGCTCCTGAAAAGAAGACAACACACACACATAGAATAAGCTTTATGAACTGATAGGCATGTTACTACATATTAAGATATTTCAAATGGAAAAGGGCCTAGTATTTTGAGAATTCTACATGCAATGGAATAGCTTGTTTCTTTGCTGTCCCTGATGTTACCGATTAAACCCAAAGAGAAAAGCTGATTTACATACGATCAAACATCCTACCCTATTCTGAAAATCCAGAGAATGAAGTATTTTAGTAGCATCTGCTAAGCCAATAATGATAGTTGACATTTCTGAAAACCAGCCTATTAACTACCATATGCATTTTATACGTAAGTTTTTCCAAACTTATATGCAACAACTCTTTCAATTAACATAGATGACCAGAGGTTTTCCGAAGAGTATAACTTAAGCATGTAGTTCATCTGTAGAGCAATTTTAAAATATTACCAGAAACTGGAGGATTTAGCCCCAATGAAGTGAATGAAGTAGAACTCTGTTCAGGAGGATTAATCCTTCCATCCACTCCAGACCAGGCTGTTGAAAAAATACAAAATAACCTATTTTTGCTACTGAAAATTAGGCACACATTCTTAAGACAAGCCTCTTACAAGACTAGTTTTCCAATGATTTTAGGGAACAAAATATTCCAGATTCATTGTACAAATACAACAGCTTGTAACATTGTAGCCAAGGATTTGACTCCACCATGTTTCATTTCATTGTAACAAGTAAAATAAGCTAATGGCCTGAACTTCACAAGTCATAGTTCTAATTCACCTTCAAAGACTGCAAGATCATTCTTCTTCTAAGCCTTATGCCTTTATAACCCCCAAAACAATGAATTAGGGATCTACTAGATCAATCAGCTACCTGGTGCTGTGCTTCAAACAAGTATTACTGTAAGCTGTGGATAATTACATCTTACAAGTTTTATCTTCAACAGGTAATAGCAAAACATGATGATTCTTCTTTCAGATATGCTCTTAATTTTATTAGTAAGAATTTGGATTGAATTTTAACTCTTGCTTTTGAGTTTTCAGATTCAAGTTAGGGAAAAGAGAAATACACTCTGGAACTGGAAACAGAAATCCTTCAAACTTTAAATTAAAAAGTATTTTCAACCCTGTCTACACATTTTTACACTTCTGCCCTTTCCCAAGAAGCTGAATGAAGCTGATTATTTATACAGCTGATTATTTATACAGATTTTTTCTTAAAGTCCAAGCTGACTGAGAGAAGGATGAGTAGGGTTCCAATGATACCCTGCATGGATATCTGCTGCTAAGAAGTTAAAATGCTATCCATGTGGTGCTAATCTCCACATAGGCCACAAGTAGCTCTTCGTACCTTAACCACAGCATATAAAAGGAAAGGCTAAAGCTTCCTAATCATTACTCAAAGAATTTTTCTACAATGAGAGCTGAAAGAAGAATGTTGGGCGGGACATTAAAGATACATAATGCCATTTCTTAAAGACAGTTTTTGTTCTTAGAGAAACAAGCACTTACCAATACCAGGGAACAAAGTGCGCTCACCCCAGGTTCTGCCCACCAGGGAAACTCCCCAGTCCTTCCCATTTCCATGATCTCCAGCATCTTTTCCCCAAGCTGATGTCTCATTCTTCCTTTTGCTACCGGAAGGTGATACTGAACTCCACTTCTCCTCACTTGCACCAATCTGAGGAGAAAGCTTTACAGGCTTTTCGTTCCAGTTGCCTCCATTTACTGTGGGGCCTTCACTCAGTCCTGAAGGAGCTTTTTAACACAAACATATACTTAATTGTAACATGTGTTTTAGTTGATACCATGAATGTACCTGATTAAAAAAAAATAAAAGTCATATTCTGCCAAGGGAAGCTCATAAAAATACCAAGATTACATTGACATTTCCATTGAACTTTTTGTTGTTGTTATTCTGCTCTTATCTCATTTCTAATCCAGCCCTTTTCTTTTTCTTCACTTCTTCCTCAGGAAAAGCTGGCTAGCCTAACTGAATACCAATACCACTCATGTGTTTCTCTGTTCATAGTTGCAGTCACTATCAGATGGGGAAAGGAAGGGTAGAAAGAAGTGTTTTTGCCATAACTATCCAGAGGACAGTAACTATATAAAAATGGGTGAAATTTAGCCTTCACTAGATCTACAAAAAAACCACTTCTCCCTATCTGTACTAATCGTATTGTGAACACTTGACAATGTGTCTCATAAAACTCAGTTGTATTTAATTTTGAGCAAATGGATGCAAGATCAGGCTGAAAGCCTCACAATTAACACAATCACAACAACATATTCCTATTATTACCAACGTCAATTCTCTTCATCTATGTTAAGAGAAATTAATGGTTTTTACTAATAATGCAGGTTAGTAAAAAGTAACTGACAGCAGAATTATAAAAAAGAAAGAAGCTGAAACTACACAATTTAAGTTAGGGGAAAAAACTGTATAGTAATTATGCAATACATTACACCCCACATAACTATGCAAAAGCTCCGTGTGAACCAGTGCACAAAATTCTAAGCAGTACCACAACTCCAATTAGGTTATTATATGCAGTAAACAGTCCTTACCTTGCTGAAGTGTAATTTCTCCTTTTCCAGATTTAGGATTACTAACTTGAGCATTCAGAACAGGATCACCTGATTAAGAAAAGCTACATTAGTGACTAAATATCCTACTATAATCCTTTTATTTATGCTGATGGATAGGCAATCCTAGGCTCCATGTTTTTTAGTTAACACCTTTTAAAAGCGTTAATTAAATCAACAGAGCAGAGTTTCAATTATTAGTGTGTAATCTGTATTCTTCTCTTGTTCTTTAAGTGTTGCTGCCCTGCCCCCTAAGACGAGAAGTGAAAAACAAAACTAGAACAAGAGTCACATATCTACCTTTGCTTTTTCTGGTACCAACTGAAAGGGATGTTGCAGATGTTAGCTGTTCAGTGGAGATTGTAACTGAATTTTCCATAGCTGGTAGATTTGATTCTGGCCCAGAATCGGTCAGTACCTTGTCACGTTTACGCTGCTGCCGTTTCTCTCTGTTACTGATTTTTGTTTCCCAAGCGCCTGAAAGAGGTATAAAAAGCCATTAGTTAAAACAGAGGAAGTAACCTATCTCAGTGGTTTTCAAACTGTATTTCAGTGAATGTTGGGTGTTCCTCAAAAGCTTGTCAGAAGTTGCTCAATGAGGGAGTCACCAAATGGCAGACAAACTGATCTGAAAGACCACTTACCCATAATTTTTATTGCCTACCACAGGTCCCTGTTTGCTAAATACATATTGAAAGTCCCTCAATATCCAGCTTCACTTCCATATACAGTTATACAGCTTGATACTCTCTCAAGCGGTTCTTTCCCCACTTTCAAATGTCATCATTGCAGGTGCAAACTCTGGCTGTCCTGAAATCTTGTGGGCATTTTTTTTTTAATAGCTATGGAGGAAAATCATTCTAATAGTTACACCCAAGTTGCTTTTATTGAATTTCCTTCAACTCAAGTGCAGTTATCACACCCAAACCCCAAAACACATTCTGAAATGTTTGCTCCTTCCCAACACTGAAAATACAATGCCAGTTCAAGTCTGACACCTCAGATTATTTGATAAAACCTGTAATTTAGGCAGCAATCATAACACAATTATATTCTACAATCACATGAACTGGCAGCTTGCTGCTCCATATGGATAAATTGACCCATAAAGGCAAAGAGCTCAAACCTATTAACAGATTAAAAACAGGTTTCATTTTAAAGACCGTAATAGAATGAACCACAAATTTCTTAAAATGTTTTTATTAATAGCACCATTATTAAATTTTTAACTTGCCCTTCCTCCCGAAGGAGCACACAGATTATTTTTTTTAAAAAACATACATGCTTTTCAGTACCTTCATCAACTTCCTTTCTATCAACACGTGACTGGTCCTGAACTGTTTTAGCATCTCCCTTTGGTTTCTTCTTATTCTTCTTTGACTAAAATAAAAAGCAAGTATTTTCTATCAATATTAATTTAAGCTATCAAAATACCTCAAGTTGCACAGTCATGTTACATTTAGTAGTAATCTTTTTGAAATGCACTGCTTCACACTGCAGTACAGGCATTTCATAAGGAATCTAAAAATGCCCCAAAGCAAAAGTATAGGTTTTAAAAACTTGAGCTTTACAAAAGCCAACATTGATTAAAATGTATTACTTAACCAGAGATGTATTTTATAAAACATCGTACAAATTATGGCTACTATCCTAAACCCATTTACCTGGGTAGTCCCCCTTTTCTAGTAGCCCCATTGAACTTGGTGCATCTCTATTCTAATTAGACAAATTTATGATTGTACTGAAAGAGTCTATTGTTAACAATAAGCATACCAATGATTATGGTTGACAGTACTGTCAAATACTGAGGTTGCACATGGGAGCTATTTTTTTAAAAATGTATTCCCGTATAAAAACAATGTAGTCACAATGTAGACTTTATGTCAAACACAAGAAATTAAGATATGAACCAGAGGTTGAGAAATGGGCTGCTTCTCTTTTTAATCTAGTAATAATTCCTATACTTTGGTAGAGTTGGGAGGGCAGGTATTTCTTCTGATGCTACACTGAGTTGCTTTATAAGCTTTCCTGAAATTGGTATGAGGTCAAGGAAGTATGTACCCTTCTCCAAGCATGGAAGTCAGGACTTGCTTCTAGTCAGAGGCACAAAGCTCAATGTGATTGTAAAGACTGGATGGTGCAACAAGACTATTTGCTGGTGGCAAATACAGATTTTTGGCTGGTTACCAACACTAGTCAAAATAGTAGAGCCTTTGCCTGAAATTTGCTTTAGACACTATCAACTTATATATATTATCTACAGTTTTCCATCACTTACAAATAACCAACCTTTTCAGCTTTCTTTTCTGCCTCTGACTGCTGTTTAAGGTTGTCTCTTCGAACTGTCTGTATTACTTCCTCTTCAGACACTTCATGAGCAGGTTGACCATTAAGCTAGAAATCAGAAAATTGTCACATTAATTTTAGACAGAGTTCACATAACTACACATTGTATTTCACTGTTTTTCAGTCTAAATGTTTAATTCTACCGAAGTCTGCCAATGTGACATACTTACCTATCCACTACTTGTTTGCTCACTTCTAGTTTAGAACAGAATCTTAAAACTTTCACTTAACAACTATTCACTACAATTTAATATGACCAAGAAAGTGGTTTAATATGAATTGCTGACTGGGTCACGGTTACATAATAGAGTCACAACAAAGGGTTGTATCTGAAGTAGTGCTGAGTAACGCAACTGGTTAATGCAAGGATTTCTGCTTTTGAAACAGGAATCCCCCTCTCCTGCCCCTGCAATCTGTTCTAGGGGCTCCCCAGCACAGATCTGGGGAGGGCACAGGGCATGAATGGAGGAGAAGAGAGGGAAAATCCATTGTGCAAGTGTAAATCCTTGTCCTGATGAGATGAGTTTGTTGAATACTGCCCAAGGTTTTGTTAAAATTCCACCAAATGCACTGTTATGAATGGAAAGCAAAGACAGAAAAGGGAGCCAATAGTATTTCCCCAGTATTACTGAAAATATGGGCTCAATTTATAAACAAACTGTGTTCATTGGTATCTCCAAACACTTCAGTGCTATTCCACCCACAGCTTAATAAAAATGAAAGCATAAGCCAATTTACAAATTGGCAGAGAAAAGGCTTTGAGAAATTCAAAGATTGGATTGTTTATAATCAAGTAAAATCTCAGGATGAGATGCAAGAATGCATAAAAAATACAGAACTTGCTCTATTTGAATATTTCCAAATTTGAAATTTTCTAATAAATTGGCTATGACAATGTGAGACATCTAAACGATTAACTGAATTATTAAACATATGGGGTAAAACTGCCTGCTGGACTATGTTTCAAAATGGATACAGGTGATAGGAATAATGATAGGGATCTCTATTCCAACTGAAAACTGGAAGTATATCTGGGGGGAAAATACAATCATACTGCTTCGTTAACTTTAATATATAATGCAGAAAAACTCTGGATATTATGGTATTTAACCCATTTAATACCAGTAATTATAGTTGTTGGAATTGCGGTTCAACTAGAGTCAATTTTATACACTGTTGGTGGGAGAACCTTGAAGCTAAGAATATTGGCAAGAAATAATACCCGATGTAAGTTCTACTTTGAAATATATGCTTTGGAAGGACCGCCAAATAATTTTGCTTCCATATTTGGAAAGTACCCATGGAGGGGGGAAATGTGTCATGTCATACAATAGTGGCAGCACAGATTCTATATGCCAAGTATGGTGGAAGGAGAAATTCCTAGTTTGAAGGAATGGTATATCAAATTATGGGGAATAGCTGTTCGAGTAAAATTACTTGTCTATTTGAGTTTACCAAGGGAAAAAGGTAATCAGATCTGAATAGGATTAGGTACAATTCATAGAATTTTGGAATAGCAAGCAGCTATTGGGTTAGTTATAATCCTTTCTCAAGTTTATGAAATTTGAGATAGATGTCAAATTTAACAAAGAAGGACATTTTTTTTATTCTACTCTAATTTGAATCTTGCTTATTTCTACCTTTCCCCCTTAATCTTATTATAATTAAGAGCTAAATTGTCTTCTCAGTATTCTTACCAATGGGGCATATAAATGTACATATTACTATTTAAGATGATTTATTTATTTACGATACAGATATCTGATTTTAAAATAAAATGAGTATTAACAGTAAGTCTCACTTATCCACAAAAAGTGGAAAAAGTTAAATGAGTGGCACTGCTTAATTTCCAAGCCTCAAATAACATTGATGTTTCTTTCAATTGCATGTAGTCCAAGGCCACAAAAGCAAATCCTATCCTAAATATTATGCAGTTAAAGAACAGTGATATTACAGTACCAAAGCTAAGGAGGTCTTTCTGGTCAAGGAGTTGGGAGGGAAGACTCACTGGAAACCTAGAGGTATACTGCCTTCAATTACATGAACCAAAGGCAGAATAGAAGCGAAATAAGAATGTTGAGTTAAGAATCTGAGGCATCATCTCATCTACAACTAAAATTAGTCTCTGCAATAACAATGGGTATGATCCAGTGAATCTCACTGATTTCAATGGAAAAACACGCAGGTGGTGCTTAAGCCTTTCATTGAAGCCTTTTGAGAAACTTGACCTCTGCACTCCCTTCACACTGACAACCCCCAAAATACTTCATGTGCTTCTTTGGCAACTCCACTTTTATGGATCATAATTAAGCTGGCTTAAATGGAGGCCAAAGAAGAAAAGAGGCTGTGGGCCAAATGGGACTGTATGTGTACCATGGGCCAATTCTGACCCACGGACCAGTAGTTCCCCATCCTGCTTTAGAACCCCAAAGAAACTGCTCAAAAATTGAAAGTTGAAAGAATGTGAAATAGCACCTACTCTTCTGCCTCAGAGCAGAGAGCTCTAGGATTAAGAGAAGACATTATAATGGCTTAGTTCAGATGAAGAAAGATAGTTATCAAAAAGGTAGATTGCACTCAAGTTCATTTCCTATTATCCAAACCATGGTTTGGAGGTTCAGAATGTGACATTTGAATCAGGCCTATGTATTTTGCCTTCAATTCCCTATGTGAAAAATTAGTGTATTTTCCAGGCAGACATCACTACAGGATTACTGCAAAAATCCGATATTTTGAGATACATCTCCTTAAATTAATGCCTACTTTCTGTATCTGACACACAGTCACAATTCACAACAAAACAAAGATGAAGCTCACTAGTAAGATATCTCCAGTTAGAGGATTTTGGAGCAACATTTTACAAATTTACAAAAAAAAGAACTTTAAAATAAACACTTTAATAGCTAATGTGCATTATTTGACATGCCCTGGAGCCACTTGGATGGCATAGTTTTTATTCATCAAATATTACAACTTTAAGAGTAAAAGTTGGATAAGGTTATATTTAAAATCCAGAACAGTAAAGTGACTTTCATCTTTACAGGAAAAAAGTTCTAGTGTTTCCTACAAAAAAACCTTGAAAATATTTGAGACATGCCTAAAACTTTATTATAAATGCTTTATTTTCAAACATAGGAGCCCGAAGTTAGCACTGTCATGAAACCAATTTCTAAATATAACTACAGTAGTTTGAGTTCGTGTCAAATTCTCATTTTACAACATGAGCGGCTGGAAAAGGCAACAGTTGCAGAATACTCCCTTCTACAATTACATCCAATCCTTGATTGAAATGGGGTAAAGAATCTAACCTTTATACATATTATGATATACTCCCAGCAGCCTTGACACGATTTCTTAAGCAAAACACATAGTTTAGTTCAAGTTTAGAAGATTTTCTGCTTCTCTGTCCAGAAGCTGGTAATAGCAACTGAAACAAATAACCCTATGGAAAGTGATGAAATCTCTCAGCTAAGATAGTCAAAAATACCAAAAAAGAACATGGCTCAACAACCAGGCTTTGAAAACTTGATCTTCTCTCTTGCACAAAGCACTACAGCAGTAGGGAGAGGAGAAACATCAAGCTATCCGACTATGGCAGCCCAATTCTTGCCTACACCACAGCATAAAGCAATCACATTATACAGTATGGGATTACATCTCCTGTCATAGTCACATGCCTGTCCTGCAGCAAACGATGCTAAAATCTGAAGCATAATCACAGAATTGTACAGTTGGAACTTGGAAAGGGTTCCAAGGGTAATCTATGCAATGCATAAAGGTAAAGGTACCCCTGCCCGTACGAGCCAGTCATGTCCGACTCGGGGGTTGCGCGCCCATCTCGCTTAAGAGGCCGGGGGCCAGTGCTGTCCGAAGACACTTCTGGGTCACGTGGCCAGCGTGACAAGCTGCATCTGGCGAGCCAGAGCAGCACACGGAAACGCCGTTTACCTTCCCGCTAGTAAGCGGTCCCTATTTATCTACTTGCACCCAGGGGTGCTTTCGAACTGCTAGGTTGGCAGGCGCTGGGACCGAGCAACGGGAGTGCACCCCGCTGCGGGGATTCGAACCGCTGACCTGACGATCGGCAAGTCCTAGGCGCTGAGGTTTAACCCACAGCGCCACCCGCGTCCCATGCAATGCACAGGGTGGGGCAAAATTTCACAAAAGACTTAGGGAGAACCAAGGCTGTGCTGCTGATACAAAAGTGGCCATGGCATGTTGCAGAAGTTAGGGGAGCTCGAATGCAGGAGAGGGCCTGACTGGAGTTACAAAGTCATCCCATACTTGAGATCTGATGGCTAAAGAGCTATAGGATTTAGCACAAGGGGAATCTCTGGTAGTTGGAAACTAGTTTAAACGACAGCTGTTTAGCCTGTCACTTTAATGATTATTGTATCATTTTAAATACTTCAAACTTTCCCTTTCAAAATCTTCTCCACCATGGAGGCTAATCAACAAAAGCCTATGACTTTGCCACACACATTGCTTATTTGTTGTTGGGAAATAGTAGATATGGATCTTCTCCTCAACCCTAAAATAATCTGGCTTCAGCTGGCCTCAGGGAACTTGACAGGCTTTGAGGCAATGGCTCCTCCACAGTCTACTAATCAAGCACACTTTATGGTTAGGGCAGGACAGGGACAAAGAGGCATGTTGGGATGCTAAGCAGGGTCAGCCTGTCAAGCAAAATAGCAGGGGTGTTGGCCCATGCAGAAGCCTAAGTATTGGTTCTTGCATTACACATGTTGATTGACTGAGGTGTGCTTGGATGTCTAAAGCTCCTCCCCTTGCTTTCGTGTGGGATGATAACCTGGAATCCTGCCTCCTGTTGTTCCAAGCAGCTAGGATTCCTTCAGCAGCCCTTATGTTATTGGCAACTATAACTGGGTGTTGAGGCTGGTGCAAGAGAGAGACAAATACTCCAAGGTATGTCTGATTCCTTTCTGCTGCTGTGGCGTTTTGCAGTGTGTGTGCAAGTCCTAGGAGCTCCTTCTTTGGGCCATGTCATGAGAATGATGTGGCTCTCTGATATTATATGGTTGTTTTATTGGATTTTTAATATTAATTTGTTTGTTGCCCAGTGAACCTTGGTTACGGGTTAACTAATAAATGAAATTACCAAAACAGATGCATTGGTTTTTTTGGCCAGATATACAAAAGGTAAATGAGGGCATCTACCCACTCGTGGGATTCAATTCCAATCTCATGCTTCTCAACCTCATGTGCTATGCATTGAACGACTAGAGGTTTCTGCTGTCAATATGTCCAAGGAAATAACTGAGGGAGAGCAGGGAAAGCACACCTCTAAAATAGTTGCAAAAACTTTTTTTCCTCTCTCAGTAAAATGTACACAGCTACAGCAGCAAACCAGCCATTCTTTAATTCTTCATTGAAAAGGGGTGTTTTTATAAAACGAGGAAAAAGACTTTCCCTTCCTAGAGTTTGAAAAAGAATAAAAGGCAGGGACAGCTACAGTGGAGGGGAAGCCTTTTCTCCTATAACTTTTCCCTCGAGAAGGACTGTAAAAGCAAGAATGAAGAAGGAATTTTTCCCTTGCTTGGATACCTGCTGCTGCTTCATTCCTTCCAGTCTGGGGTCTGCTGAACTCTTGAGTAGCTCTCTTTCAACAGCACACAACACTCTAGCTTGAAGTAAGTGACAGTCAGGAGACAGTTAGCACCACACAGGCACTGAAGGAAATTGAAACTTCACAGCAAAGATATGACTGGTGGTGGGCTTCAGTGAGGAATGCTCTCTTATATGCAAATGACTGTGCCCAGAAGAGTTCTAATTGGTAAGGTATTGCAAATTACAATCAAAGCTGTCTGAATGGAAGATTGTTTAGTCTGGATGCCCCACCACATTATTTTCAATGCGAACTCCTAAACAAGTAAAGGACCTGCCTGAATTAACAGTAGACTGTGTACATGTGCATGCAGACTGACCAGCAGTATCAGAGGCTGACAATGGATTCCAGAGAATTGAGTGATCAGATTGTCATAGTGACTGATAATTATATGTGTGGGCAGGAGAACCGAGAGCGGGTTCTGGGTTTCTTGAGGGTGAGAACACCCATCTGACAAAGTTTTAAAACTATCCCAATCTACCTGCATAGGAATTATGGGCAGAACTTGATAAAATAAAATACTATTTGCCACAAAGCTCTAACCATCTTTCGAAATTATCGTTTCAAAACTGACCCTACTACATTTTAGCCTTCGTGAGATTGCAGTCCCTTGAAAACCTGCATGAGGGTGGGGCAGTATAAGTGGCGAAGGAGTGATTGGCAAAAACTGGATTCCAGTTCCTTCTGCTCCATGAGTGGAAGGAGTTTTTCTGTTCACAGAGGTCTAGTTAAAATCAAACCCACGGGAAAGATAATAAGATGGTCCAAGGTATTCTGGGCAGTTTACGGCTCTGAAGGCACAAAACAGTTTAAAGACAGCACTGCGTAAGGCATATTGCAGTGTGTGGAGTTACCAGTCACAAGCTAGGTCTCCAGAAGGGGAAAAAATCTGAAAAGGATGGACCCTGTCAGATTTCACCTGAGCATCAAGACGAAGATGGAATCAGGAACACCCTAAAGCTGCTAAAGTGCTGTTCCAACAGATAGTTCTCAAGAACACGGAATTCACCTGTTTTACGCTAATTGTTCCTCAAACCACCAGCCCCACAAATTTTGCTGGACTGGCTTCCCCCCTCATTAGCAATTCAATGCACTGCTTTAAAGAATCCATCACTACCACACTTTAAAAGTGGGGAGAAATTTGGGTGCCATATTTGAACACTCTGCTTATCTTGCCCTGTTTATTAGATCTGTCAACAGCAACAAGTTTAACATGAACACCATTTTAGCCCATTGAAAACTGTCAATACCATCTTAAAACATTGCCAATGTACCACACACAGAGGCTTCAGTTGATTTCAAGTTTATGCAGTAATACTATTTATCTTGCCTAAAATTGTACCTCTCAACAACAAAAAAGAATTAGATGCGACACAATCTAGGATATAGGATACTATTGAACAGAAACCCTCAGATTTATAGGAGCTAGTATCAAACTTTTAGACAAGCATTTTGCACATGTCTGAAAACAACCGTAAATGCTTAGATGTCACTTCTTTCTAGAAAGCACCAAGGGCAGGGAATTTCCAGGCCTGTTCACTTCCATGTTAATTTGCTTTTTAATATTCAGTTTCCAAATCCAGAATAATCTTCCTTGTCCATCTACTCCCAGACCACTCAAAGAGGGAGAATAGGCACTTTTTAACTACTTTGACCATGAGAGCTGTGTGAATAAAAGAGTGACTATATAACCCATTCTACCAGGTTGATCAAGGCTGAGTCCAATGTATACCTAGGATTAAAACATATTATTATTAACAGACTTATCTACACTAAATGAGATAAAGTTAGAAAGTTTTATGCTGAAGTCCTAAAGGTCAACTATTCAACACACTGTGTGTAGGGGAAGTCACATGGATCCTCAAATGAGAAAATCACCCATGCTGCAGTACGTATAAGTTCACTGGTAAGAAGAGAGCTGGTGCAAACTGTCTTGCTGTCAGCTAGAACCTGTAAATTGACTGTTCACGCTCACAGGTGCTTGCAGACATTACATCCTTGATAAGAAAAACTTCAAGGCGCAAAATTCATGTAAAACTGCAGCTGCAGTTCTCTGCTTCAGACAGTACTTGGAAAAGCAGGAAAAAAGAAATGGGGGGGGGGAATGAGGAGAAAAAAAGAACATATTTAGAAATGCAACATCAGGTGCAGCCACTAGCGCTTTCAATTAAACACATACACGAACACCGTTGTGATATGCAGAATGTGTGAAGCAGCAGAAGAAGCGCTACAGTTTTCTTATGGTGTTGGGTCAAGACATTGAAACTCCCTCTATTCCACCAATAGCCACTCATGCAAATGTTCTCTTTTCCCACCGTGTTTCCACTCACCCTGCCCGTTTTCTCCAGCGGCCTCTTTTTATTCCTCCTCTTCTGCTCGTCTCCCTTCAGCAGGAGCATCGTCCCAGGGACCCCCTTGTGAGGAGGGCCTCCTCCTGCTGTTGCTGCTGTCAGGCCCCGCGTCGCCGCCACTTCTTCCTCGTCCTCTTCGTCGGTTCTCCTGAGGCGGTTCTTCCTTCGAGCATCCCCCGCCCGGGCGCAGGCCGCGGCCCACAGGAGCGCCAGCAGGAGCAGCAGCGCCAGGACGGACGTGGAGAGCAGCACCAGCCAGGTGGGCAGGCGCTGCGGCTCCAGGCCCGGCGGCAGCTCCAGGCCCAGCTCGGTGCGGAGCAGGCCCACGCCGGCCGACAGCGCATCCCGAAGCCGGGCCGACACCTCCTCGGCCTGCTGGGCCACAGCCTCTTGCCAGCTCGGCGAAGCCATGGCTGGAGCAGCGGGGGCCGCGACAGGAGCAGAAACTCGCCTCACGCCGAGCGCATCGCTCACCCTCCGAGGAGAAGCCGAAAGCCCTTCGGGTCTCCCGCCGCCGCCGCCGAGCCGAGCCGGAGGAGCGAGAGAGGCGGCGGTTGCGCCGCTGACTGACTTGATTCGGCCCAAGAGCGCAACGTCACCCCTCCGCCGCCGCGTTCTGGCGGGCGAGCGCGCACGGGGCGGCGGTGACGGAAAGGGGTCACGTGGAGCTCAAGGAGCCGTTGGCTGGGAAGCGCCGCTTGCGCCTGCGCGCTCGCGACTCAGCGTCTACGTGCGCTCGGCGCCCCGCCCACTCGACTGGCGACGGGTCCTTCTTTCCCCCATCTGCCCATCCCTTACTGTTGTTACGTAGTCGGCGCAAGTGGGCGGTTCCTAAAGTGGGCGTCACTCCTGGCGCGGGATTGGGCAGCGAGAGGGACTTGTAAGCAAGTAATCTCGACGTGGCAGTGATTTCCTCGCCGAGGGAGGGGCGGCGAGGAGGAGGGAGGGGGAGGAGTTGCCGGTGCCGCGCTCGACCTGGCCCGTCAGAGCTTTGAGACGAGGGGAGGGGGAGAGCGTGGAGGCTTCTTTTTCTGAAGCAATTTAATAAATAATAATAATAATAATAATAATAATAATAATAATAGATGGAATGGAGTATCCTGGGAAAGGGTATGGCAGGCAGCCATGCAGGCAGAAGTAAGACCCAGTGAATTTAATAGGATTTACTTCTGAGTAGCCAGGATTACCGTAGGATTGGCTGCAGGGCTGCCATCTCATACACCTGAGAATACGCCCCACTGAACATCTCTTGCTTGCATTACAGGCATTTTCCAGCCTTTTGCGATCTCTACTTTGCAAGAAGGTTGGTTGTAATGGGGTTTTTTTGTTTTTTGTTTTTTTAGTTACAGTAATTTCAAGTATAGGCAGACAGGTACCTCTCTTAATTACCCCTCTGTGCACCAGTAAACGAGAGGAATTAAAACTAAGAGAGCTGAGGGTGTGTGTGTGCTCACTGTGTACAAGTTGTACAAGTGACAATAAAGTATTTCAATTCAATCAATTCAATTAATGTAATGCGGCGTTTCTTGAGGCGTGAAAACCTTTCAGAGACATCTCTGCAAGGGCTACAAAATACAGTGGTACCTCGGGTAAGAACTTAATTCGTTCCGGAGGTCTGTTCTGAAACTGTTCTTAACCTGAAGCACCACTTTAGCCAATGGGGCCTCCTGCTGTTGCCGCACCGCTGCTGCACGATTTCTGTTCTCATCCTGAAGCAAAGTTCTTAACCCAAGGTACTATTTCTAGGGTAGCAGAGTCTGTAACCTGAAGCGTCTGTAACCCGAGGTACCAGTGGAAGTGGGTTTATGTAAGTCAGACCTAAATATTTAGAACAAAAAAAATTCCTTCCAGTAGCACCTTAAAGACCAACTAAGTTAGTTCTTGGTATGAGCTTTCGTGTGCATGCACACTTCTTCAGATACACGGAATATCTGAAGAAGTGTGCATGCACACGAAAGCTCATACCAAGAACTAACTTAGTTGGTCTTTAAGGTGCTACTGGAAGGAATTTTTTTTGTTTTGACTATGGCAGACCAACACGGCTACCTATCTGTAACTAAATATTTAGGTCATTCCTGTCCAGATGGGGGCACAGCTGGGCCACCAGCTGAAGCTTATGGAAGGCACTCTGTGCCACTGAGGCCACCTGAGCCTTAAGCTACAGCAGTGGGTTTCTTGAGGAGTAGTTTTACCACTGCTTCCTTCCACCCGCTCTGGAAAGGAGGCATTAATCCTCTCCATGGCCCAGCCAGCTGTCCCCTCCCTGTTAGTTTTTATCAGCCAAGAGGGGCAAGGTTCCAAAGTGCAAGTGGTCACCCTTGTCTACATCCTGAAGCCTTGCTAACTGAAACTCATCCAGCATAACAGGATTATGCAGTTATTTGGACACCTATCAATATTCATCTGCTGTAACAGTGGAGTCAAGGTCCTGGCGGATACAAGCAGTTTTCCTCAAAATGCTTTTCAAACAAGTCACAGTGACCTGGAGTTGATTCTGTTACCTCAATCAGGCCAGACTGTAAACGGCCCCACACTATCCAGAAAAGCTCTGCTGGACAGCACAATGAGGGTGCAATGAAGGCAGCACAATATGCCTTCCCAAATTGCTCTTTGGGGACATTCTGCCTGCTCTAGGTAAAGATAAAGGGACCCCGACCGTTAGGTCCAGTCATGGCCGACTCTGGGGTTGCAGTGCTCATCTCGCTTTACTGGAGCTTCCAGGTCATGTGGCCACTTTCTGGCGAACCAGATCAGCACACAGAAACGCCGTTTACTTTCCCGCTGGAGCGGTACCTATTTATCTACTTGCACTTTGACGTGCTTTCGAACTGCTAAGTTGGCAGGAGCAGGGACCGAGCAACGGGAGCTGACCCCGTCGCGAGAATTCAAACCACCAACCTTCTGATCAGCAAACCCTAGCTCTGTGTGGAACAAAGCTTATATTGGACTCATCCACTGAGGCTGCATTGGCTTGGGAGACAGATTTGAACCCACACCTCTTGCTTTCTGTTGAGGTCACCCTTTTCAGTGTTAAATGGATGTTTCTGCTCTGTATGTCTTCATAGACGGTTGTGATTTAAACTGAAAATGTGGGCCATGGAGAAATGGTAGAGCTGTAGGAAACTTGAATCTCTCTCTCTCTCTCTCTCTCTCTCTCTCTCTCTCTCTCTCTCTCTCTCTCTCTCAGTGTGTCTGTGGGGAGAGATGAGCTATTATATCACTTTTCATTTTGCGCTCTCTGAATTTCTAGTCCTTAAGACAGATAGGGGAAGATGATTATTCCCATGCGTCTACAATTCTCTCTGGTATTTTGACACAGGTTAGAATACCGCCAACCCCACCAAAGTAACATTGCCTGCTTTTTGGCACTTTCCACACACAAATGCTAGGGGAATTGTCTTTGTGCAACATTTGTTTGTTCTATCTGAAACACTTTTACCCCTCTCTTCATCAGAAAAGGTTTCCAGTGATCAGAAATAAGGCAGACCCTGCCCTCAGACTTTGACTACACAAAAGCAGAAGAGATAGGGAAGTGGGGAAAAGCAAGCATAGGCACTGGATCTTAGTTACAAAGTATTTTAATGACCTGCTGGAATAGAAAGAGTTCAAGGAGAGGATGAGACCAGTGGCGTAGCGTGGGAGGTGCAGGGGGGGCCGGCCGCACCGGGCGCAACATCTGGGGTTAGGGCAAATCCACGAGTTAGGGGGCGCAAATCCACGGGTTAGGGGGCGCAAATCCACGGGTTAGGGGCGCAAATTACTTGCCTTGCCCCGGGTGCTGACAACCCACGCTACGCCAGTCGGCATTAGATGTATTTTAGCCATCCAAATTATCTCCCTATCATACTGCCATTTTGATATCACCTTGGAAAGATGCTTCAATGGTTTGAACACGTTCTTGGCCGCTGTTGTGACTAATGCTTATAAATAAAAGACACATTTGTCTTGGTGAAAAGGAGGTAGCAAATCTTTTTCAATGTCAGACATTACAATATGCCTATTATAAACCTCTTCTTAGAAGTGGCATATAATGGACAGTACAATGCATAAATGGATGATATCCTTCACTGCCTCATAGTGTAGACACACTTATGTAAATTGACAGACATTCTAGTATATCTGTCATCATGATAGGCCGAGGTCGTTGTTTGAAAGTGAAGTGCCATGATGGATTCCCAGATGGTATAACGCCAGTTCTAAAAATAAGTTTGCAGAGTGCGATCATGCTTTCTATGTGTGTGGGGGGGGAATAAATTGCTATAGATGTTTACCCACTGTGAAAATTGGGTGTTATATATACCTTGCTTGAACATTTATTTTACATATAACATGACTTCGTGGTAGCTTCTACACCATATATGTGCAGTATCTCTAATTAGCCATTAAGAGATTCACACTGTTTATGCTAGCTGGTACCGTAATTTGCAGCTCTGCTCCATCAGGCAATTTTTAGGTAGTCTGTCATCTAACATTAGTTGCAGTCTGACCCAATGCATATGAACCTGAGCTTCAGTTGAGGGAATCCCAGCTTCGGCGTGTAGGAGTGCTGGACGGTGGGGGTGAGGGAATGAAAAATAATGCTCCGCAAAACTGAATTTATATGATCTCATTGGAAAGACCGGCTGCATCAAGCATCTCCAACCCCTAAAATGTGGCAGTTGTGTATATATAAGAAAAACTGTTTAAGAAATGGTGCCTGAGTTTGATTTTTTTCATCTTCCCTCTTTGTCTCTTTTCCTTTGTGTGTTGTGTTGTGTTTGCTTGCTTGTTTGTTTGTTTAGATTGTAAGCCTGTGAGCAGGGACTGTCTTTGTTTAATTGATGATATGCATGTAAGCCACTCTGGAAGTCCTTCTGGCTATGGGGGATGCAAAACATACATACATACATACATACATACATACATGAGTGGAACCACCATGCTATAGTTCTTGTCTGCCTACATAAGACTTTAGTTAGCTTCAGCTCCCTGCTGAAGCAGAGGACAGGAGTCAAGAGGGTGTTGAAGAATCCAGGGAGTCTCCCTCTCCTGCTGGGACAAGCTCTCCTCCCGCCTGGTCTCCAAGAACATGCAGAATAATGAGAGCAGAAGAGAAATCAGCGGTGCACACATGCAGTTTAAGACTGCTTGGGAAACATCTGAGAGAGGAGGAGCCCTAGAAAGGGTGGAAGGCAGGGACCTTCAGTCCTGGCAATGGTTCCACAAGGGCAAGACCTACTGGAAAGTGTCGCTGAGTTGTATGCTAATTCCTTGAACAGTTAACTCCACTGACAACAACGGAGCCTTTGGCAATGGCACAGGGACGGATTTAGGTTTGATGGGGCCCTAAGCAACTGAAGGTAATGGGGCCTTTTATATGTCCAGCTGTCCTTTATCAACAATGAATTGTCGCTGTTTTTGTGTTGAATATATGCTATATGGTAATTTATGGACCTAATAGGTATCTAAAGCCATTTGCACATGTTGCCATGCAACCAGTCCATGAAGAATGTAGGCACCCTATACAGTCATACCTCGGGTTACAGACGCTTCAAGTTGTGTGTTTTTGGGTTGTGCACCGTGCCGAACCCAGAAGTACCGGAACGGGTTACTTCCGGGTTTTGGTGCATGTGCAGAAGTGCTAAATTGC